ATGTCACTTGGCATAAATTATAACCTATTTCTTATTATTTTAATTAAATTTATTGTTATTCATTCCATTGTAAGGATTTGGGTATAATTTTGCAATAATTGAAATTCAAAATAATTGATTGAGCCACTACATAATTTCTGCTACTACAATGTTCACCAAATGCTTGATAAATTGTTTGATAAAAAATCATTTTCATATGTTCGCCAAATGTTTCGTAAATTGTTTCTCTATTTGATTTGTTTAATGTGTTTGTTAATTCACAGGGAATGGAAGGTAAAAGGAGATTGATCAAATGATCAAACTTTTGGTTGGGGAAAAAGTTCCCCTCTGCTAAACTTTTGACTAGGGTGAGAAAAAAAGCTCCCTTTACTTGATTGGGTTGAATTTATGAATTTATCTATTTTTTGGACGATAGGATTAAAGGCTTGAATAACCTTCCTTTATTATCCTTACTATGCCACGTGTCGAACTGTAACTGGCTTTTACAAAATATGTAGCCAACACTTCTAAATAGTTTGAATGCTCTCAATTGGATCTTAGTTGTGAGTTTATGAAATCTTTCTTTTCAGATTGTGGTTTAAAGATTTTTGAAACGAACGCTTCTTGCATTGTGGTGCCATAGATATCCATGAAAGGTTATCAAGTAAAGAACCTTTTTCTTGGTCAATAAATCTCTCTTTTCCATTTATATGGATGTGTCTCTGTTAAACATTTTTTGATATATTGTAGTTTCCTGGGTAGACACTGCATGTGTCTGGGTGCATAAATATTTGCTACATAAATTTAAAAACAAATAGGGTGTGTGTGAGTGTGGGATGAGGGGAGTAGAGATGGAGGGAGGCAAAAAGTGAAATGGTGTGAAACAAATTGCTTCTTGAAAAATTATCTACGTAAGTGCTGAATTTCATGTCTCTAAAAGACTGCTTAATGCTAGAAATTAAATATATTTGTTGAATCATTAGTGCTTGATGATGGAGGGAGTCATTTATAAACATTAGTGCTTGATGATGTGTTTAAGACCTAAAATCTAATAATGTGTTTAGAACTTCTGCAATTAGTGCTTGATGATTTTTGCTTTTGCAATTATTATAAATAGTGCTTGATGTTTTGAGATCGATGTAATCCATAGACACATATGCTTGATTGTAGGGTTAGTTGATTGCCCAAAGAGAGGTGATTTTCTTGATTAAGGTTTAGTTTCCATTTTTTTTCCCTTTGTATTTTTCTTTTTCTCTGTAATTGGTTTATTAATTAAGCTTTAGCAAGAGAGAAGTGTAATATGCAAAGTTTGAGACTTAAGCTTAGGAAAGTGAAATGAGTGTTGTAACTATATTCATGAGACTTAAGTGTAATATATTCATAAGTTCGCTAATCATACATTTTATTTAACTAATTGATACATTTTTCCTGCTAAACTTTGGGCTTTGATACACTTCAATTTTGCACAATGGGGGTGAGCGGCAGTGTACTATTTTTCTTTCCATGCCTTTTCTTTTAAAACATTAGAGATAGTTTGTTAATATTGCAATCACTGAGATTTTATTCTTTTCTAATTTTAGCCGAAGTTCAAATGAGACCAACCTCTTCAATTAGAACAAGAAAGATTGATAACTTGGATAAGAATAATAATAATGCAATAAGAAAGGAACAACTTTTTTCCGAAATTATTTTGTGAATAAATTTTCCATGTACTACATAAAAGATTGGACAAGACAAGATAATCCCAATATTACTTCCTCCGTGACTTTAGGCATGGGCATACACTAGTAAATATATAGGAGAAGCGATTGAGTAGCCCATACAGGCAGTAGAGATGAAAAATAGTTGTTTCCTTTTCGTGCTTGAATTGGACGGTATTGTTCGGCCCGTGTGGGCCCACCGTGGGTCTCGTTTTGCTAATCGGAACTGTTCAATATGTAGAACTCGTCGAGTATTATATACTTATAAAAAATCACGTTGATCGGATATCGATAGCTATTTGATCGTGTTAGTTTTTTTGTCAACCGTTAACTATAACATCATCTATGGTTTATACAAAACTGATTTAATCATGCAGCTATCCATATCCGATTAACGTGATTTTTTATAGGCATATAGTATTCGACGAGTTCTATACATTGAATGGTTCAGATTATCAGAATGAGACTCGTGGTGGGCCCCCACTGGCCCAACATTACCTTCCAATTTAATAAATATATATACCTATTTTTTTTTTTGACAACCTTCCCATCAATTCTCAGTATTAGTCACGTCTTTGTATTAAAATATGTAATAAACTAATTTTTTTATATTTTTAATTTATGAATAATGATAACTTTTTAACTTTTTAAGTAACTTTTTGGCTTTTTAAATTTTTTAGAGATGCCAAATTAGGCCTTAATGAATTTTAAAATTTATTTAAGTTTGGTTCGTTAAACTTTTAAGCTGATCTTAAACGAATTTTTATTGAGCTTAACCCAAGCAATTTGATATTTTATATAATTAATTGTCTAAATTTGGTTTAAAAACCTTAACAAGTTCTAAAAGATGTTTAAACTTGACTTATTTATTTAATGAACCGAATTCGAATGAACTTTTAACGAGTCGAGTTCGAGTTATTTGGTTTGTTTATCACCCTTACATTTAAGTCTTGTTTGGCAACTAAATTTTAATTTAAAAATCTACTATAAATTGTCGTATTATCCGTTATTTTTATACATTTTTTTTATAAAAAAAAACTTAAAAATTTGCTAAAATAACCAATTCGTAGAGTAAAAATTAATGTAAATTTCAATCATTGATTTTAAATTTGGAATAGTTTTTAGATTTAGATTTAGATTTTTTTTTTAAATTTGCAACATTTCTCATATAATGTTATCAAATATTTGAACCAATCATAAAAATTATATGGAAAATTGCAAAAAAAAAAAAAATAGAATAAATAAACAATTGTAAGAATGTGATAGAATTGAAATGAAACTTATAAATTAATTAACAAATCTCATAAAATTATATTTTTTACCCTCTTGAATTTAGGGCTGGTTTGGCTTATCCTAAATAAGCCAAAAAGTCAAAAAGTTACTCCAAAATCCAAAAAGATATCACTATTCACAAAAAAAAAAAAATTAAAAAATCAATTTTTTTCAAAAAAAAGTACACACCGAATTGATGTGTGTGCAGCTGCTGTGTGCAGCAGTGGAGAAAAAAGAAATGATTGGGTGTGGTTTTTACACACACCGTTGTTCGTCCTATGGGGGTCATCACGGGTCCTGTTTTGATAATCTGAACCGTTCAATGTGTAGAAATCGTCGAGTACTATATGTCTGCAAAAAATCACATTGATCGGATATCGATAACTATATGATCAAATCAGTTATGTACAACAAATGGATGGTGTTATAATTAATGATTGAAAAATAAATAGATTTGATCAGATAGCTATCGATATTCGATTAACGTGATTTTTTGCAAACATATAGTGTTCGACGAGTTACACACATTGAACGGTTCAGATTATTAAAATGGGACCCGTGATGACCCCCACGGGCCAAACAAAACCATCTAATGCTTTGTACAAAAATTAGCCAATAATTTCCAACTCCAATTGAGTCTGCCGGTTGTACAGCCGGTTGTATGGCTGGGGCCCACTCCTCTCTTATCATCTCTTACACACTTTTTTTATACAATTTTTTAATACACATTTTTCCATAAAAAGTCAAAAAGTTAACTCAAACCTCCATATTTTTTTTTTGTCTTTTTTAGTCTAAAAAGACAAAAAGTGCACTTTTTTAGGACACCCCAAACCAGCCCTTATTTCTTATACATCTTTTTCCTGTATATCTTTTATATTCCTCTTCTTTTCTCCACTTTCTCTAACTCGTGCCAATCTTACCCAACTCCCAACTTTTCTCCTAACTTCCTCTTATTTATTTCCTAACATATATCTACATTCCATCAAATTACTCCACCCATGTTTAGCTCTTCCTTTACTTTAGATCCATTTTTCCATGAGCCATCACCATGACAGAGATTGCGATGAGAGAGTAAGAGATCGCGAATGTCTAGGGTTTCCTAAAAGGGGTTGAGGTCATTGATGGTTTTAAAAAAAGCCTCAAGTGTTTTATAGTGGCGGTGACGAATAAAAGGTTGGACTAAAGTTGAGTGCAGTGATTTGGAGGAAGACCATGGAGTACTTGAGTATTTATGATAGTGGCAATAAAGAATCAGCAGTGCTACAAACCTCCAGTGACCCCCCCAGTGCCACGTGTCGGCCTGGGGTTGGCTGAAAACCAAAAAAAAAAAAACTATTTTTTTGACCAATAGGAAGGGACCCCAGCACCCCCACTGAGGGTCCGAAACTTTATTCATAAAGAATTACGTTATGGTAGATTAAGAGTTTGGAGATGGGTGGAAGGAGTGAAAAAAGGCTAAGGGTTGTAATGATAGTGACAAAAATAAGGTTTGAGATGTTAGGAAGAATGGAAGAAAATTTCACAAAAATCGAAAGAAAATGAGGGTAAAGTTGGCGACAATTAGAAAAGATAGAGGGAGGAGTGGCGAGTAGTTAGAGAATGTAAGGCAATGAAGAGGGAAACAAAACATGAGAAAATGACAAAACTAAATTGAGCAAAAATATAAATTTAACATGTTTTCGTCATTAATTTGTAAGTTTCCAAGCATATATTTGTGATTGATTTAAATAGATTCATGCTAAAAAAATTAAAATAAAAAACATAAAACAAAACAATTTTCATTATTTTTATTCCCTATGTTGGATGAAAATGCAAAGTTTTTTGCAAAAACAAAAAAAATAAAATAATCGAAGGAATAATTTGAACCCCATTTTTAATGGCTCCACTCAAAGCCAGTCCAACTTTCTCTCACCCAAACAAGCTCAAACCCTGTGGTTGTGATCAACACCGACTCAAAAACACCGACTCAAACAAACACCAATCACAAATTGTGTCCACCCAAACACTGCCTGGGCTTATCCATATAAAAGCCCATCTCATCCCCCACAAATATCCTCTCTCTCTTTCTCTACCCCCCAATCTCTCTCCACGGTTTCGAGATTAGGGTTCCTCCGATCCCTCTCGCACCTTTACAATCATCCAAACTCTATACCTATAGATATAGATCAGTATCTCTATCTATCATCTCTCTAGGGTTCCTCTTCTTTCTGTAGATCTATTTCTTTGTTGGGGTTAGGGTTAGGGTTTTATTCGAAGATGATGCAACCAGCAAGCGGTGTAGTCCCTCCTCCAATGCCTCCGATGCCAATGGATCAACAACAACAACAGCAGCAACAGCAACAACAGCAGTATCAGCAGTGGATGATGATGCAGCAGCAGCAGCACCACCACCAGCAACAGCCGCCGCAGCAACAGCCGTATCAGCAGCAGCAGCAGCCGCCGGTGTGGGCGCAGCAGCCACCGCAGGCGGCGGTGCCGCAGCAGCCTCAGCCGCAGGCCATGCAGATGCAGCAGGCTCAGCAACAACAGCAGCAGTATCAGGGTTCGGCTGGTTCGAATGAGATCAAGTCGCTTTGGATCGGGGACTTGCAGTATTGGATGGATGAGAACTATATCTACACCTGTTTTGCTCAAACTGGAGAGGTAATATTTGGGTCCTTTTTTTATGTTTTTTGTTTTCTGATCCTAGTTAGTATCGTCCTTCAATTATTATTCTATCAATAAACGAGTGATAGGAAAGAATATATTGTAATCTCAATCAATTGAATTTTCCTGCATTTTATTGGCAACCAAACAGCTGATATTGCCATTTTAGTAGGGCAATTGTATAACATGCATGGTTTTAAAAATCCCTTACGGAACTGTTGTGGTGTTACCGCCACCCGTTTCGGCTGCTATAGCAGTGTGACGGAAATTTTGTAACCGTCGAGTCGGTCGAGTCGGTGTTACCGTAACGGCCATAACCGTCCGATATACACTGTTACACTTTTAATCCTTTTATTTAATATTAAATTGTAAATATTTTTTATTTTGCTACTGTAATGTGTTTCAAAAAAATGTCTTTAAAAAATAAATAAAATCAGTAACTCAAAAATATTTTGTTTGTTTATGGCACTATTTTTATTTTTACAATTATTTCATTTAATACTTAATTGAAAATAATTTTATTTAGTTAGCATTTGTTGTCTAAACAAATGCCTAAAAAATAATTGTTTTTTATAGCACAATATATATTTTTATAATCATTTCATTTAATAATTGTGAATATTTTTTATTCAGGTAGTTGAGATATTGGTCAAAAATAATTTGTAAACATTCAAAATCAATTGTTGTTAAAATCATTAACTATTGAAATAAAATATAAAAAATTCCTTTTATAGTGATTTAAAAATATAAAATATATTGGATCATATTTAAAAACTAACAAAAATGGATCAAAATCAATTTTAAACCCTATAAATGTGATTCTAAAAAAAAAATATGCATATCGGTAAGTTTTTTTAAACTCGTGCGAGACATAAAAAAATCACGGTTTCGGTTATCGCAACTGTTACACTGTGGCCTTTATACACTGCAACCGTTATGGTGACCGCAACCGTTTTTCGAAACTTAACATGATATTCATATAAAAAAAAGGAGGAGGAGGAGGAGGGGGCAAATACCTAGCATGCTGTACAAAACTAATTTATTTGAATATCTGTTTTCACTTTTTCAGTGGTTAAAACGTTTGCCTACTAACCTTTTGAGGTTCTGGGTTCTAGTTCAAGGACAGCGACTTTGTGCATTTATGCCAAAAAAGCACCCATTAATGTGGGTACTAATTGGGAGTTGTTTTTATTTGTTGTCACTTTCTATTGTCATGTTGATTTTTTGGTGAGACTTATAAAAAAAGGTACGTAGCATGCAAAACTAATTTAGTTGAATATTTGTTTCACCTTTTCAGTGGTTAAAATCTTGGCCTACTAACTTGAGATGTGGGTTCAATTCTAAGGACAGTTACTTTGTGCTTTTATGCCTAAAGTTAGCTATGTCCCCAATCTAACCTCTCCCAAACACCCATAAATGGGTACTAATTGGGAGTTGCTTTTATTTGTTCTTACTTTTTTCTTGTCATGTTGCTTTCTTGCTCCAGAAAGTGAACCTGATGGTTTAAGAAAAGGGGTGGGTGTTATTCAAAAGATAACCCTTGTAATGTATAGTTTTGGTTGGTTTAATGCCAACCACGGCTAGGGCAAGAAATTGCCTTTTTTGTAACTATTTGATATTTGTTATATATTTGCTCAATTCAAGTGAATGTATGGAACTCTGGTGATAAAGTTATCATGGTTTTCTGTTACTTCTTATCCTGTGTCATTTCAAATTTTAACATTCACTAATATAATAGTAAGATATTTATGTGTTTTTTTTTGGGTTCTTTCAGCTTTCTTCAGTGAAGGTTATTCGCAACAAGCAAACTGGCCAACCTGAGGGTTATGGTTTTATTGAGTTTACAACTCGCGCAGCTGCAGAAAGGCTGTTACAAACATACAATGGCACATTAATGCCAAATTCTGAACAGAATTTCAGACTGAACTGGGCCACTCTTGGTGCTGGTGAAAGGCGTGCAGACGACGGTCCAGACTATACAATATTTGTTGGAGATTTGGCTGCTGATGTTACTGATTACATGTTGCTAGAAACATTCAAACCTCACTATCCGTCAATAAAGGGTGCAAAGGTTGTTACTGACAGAATGACTGGGCGTACCAAGGGTTATGGGTTTGTTAGGTTTGGAGACGAGAGTGAACAAGTGCGTGCTATGACTGAAATGAATGGAGTGCTCTGTTCTACTAGACCCATGCGGATTGGAGCTGCTGCTACCAAGAAACCAGCCGGTGGAGGTGGTCAGCAATACCAGAAAGGTATGATCTTTACTAGTTCTTTTAGCATCCTTTTAGACCTCACAGTTGCTACCTGATAAAACAATCTTTGTTGGTATATATTGCTGTTCTATTTTGATATTAATGTTTTTGAGCTGATACATGTTGGTCGTTCAGTATATTCTTCCTCATTTGGAATTATCATTGTTTGAAGTAATAAGTTGAGTACCCTTGATATGTTTGATGTGTTATTTTCAACGGCGTTTCAAATTTGATGCTGAAGATACGCGGAATTACACAAGTCATTTCCTTCCAGTATTTACCTTTGTAAACTTGGGCGCATTTAATTCTGTTAAAACTTGCAACAACTTATAAAACTCATGTTGTCTCAAAGCAGGACACACAGAGAGGCTCTCATTTTGGGGGGCCTGGAACTGATTTCAGCTGAAATGATTCCACTTTAGTGCGTGGCCTCATTTTAGGTCAGTAAATTTGGTTTATGTCATAAAGCTTTTGTTTTCCTTAATTCGTGGCATTTATCATGCTACATAAACGTACTTTCGAGTTCCTTTTCGTTACCAGTCCAGTTACTTTTCTTTTCTATATTTCCAAAAGTTAAATTTCCTTTTATTCATTACTTTTTCCATCTTATGCAAGTCCACAAGTTTCCTCGTTTTACTTCTTTGTGGATCATTTCCTTTGCGCTATAAACAGATTGCTGTCAATAAGTTATCCAACTTTTGAACCCATGTGTATCTGTTCTTCATATTTCCAGCTTTATTCCGTTGAGAATGTGTTCTTATTAGAGTTCAAATTTTTTAACTGAACTTGGAACGCTGGCCAATACATGTAGCTTCGACAGTTTCAGTTGTTTGAAACTGTTCAGTCTGTTAATTGTTGTAAGAAGAGATTTACTGGTTGTCCTCATTGCACTAAAAATATATTATTTTTCTTGAATATAAATACGTATCTACCTAGTAGTTTTGTTGCTAATGTGGGTGTTTACTATTAGGGATTTAAAAAAAAAAAGTAATCAATTATGGATATCCTATTGGGGATGGTTTTGACATTATAGCCATCGAGGTTTGTGGGATTTTACCATATCTTAAATATTTGTGAGGATGACAGAGAGAAGAAAACAAACGACATATACTTATGGCACAAAAAGGGCAGGATAGAAAATTATGTTCTAGAAAAACAACATATTTCTTGATACGCCATTGGCTTTATGAAATTTTGAGATATACACAGTTATTGTGAAAAGTTAACCAAACTTTTACCAAACTTATCAAGGAAAAGAATAATGTAAGTCAACCAAAGTAGTCAACAACTTTGCTTCATCTTTTACATATTACATGTTGAAGTGACTTGTATATTAGAGTGAAGTGGGCGAAGGCTGCCTAAATACTACCTCTCCCAAGTGGGAGTCTTTTGCTTTGGGCGTAGCCTTTTATGTAACACAAGAAATAAGGTTGTTTTATGTGTTTTTCTGTATCCTACACTCAAAACTTAATTAAAATGGATCAGTTAGAATATAGGGTGAAAAGTACAGAAGGCTATATTTATTTTGAAAATCCACATGCTCTACTAATTTCATGTACAACAAAATAGAAAACAAGGAACTTTTGTTCGAACAAAATATACCATTCCATGGAGAATCTTGGCAATGAGGATTATGGTCAGGATTGTACAGATAGATCCATTGGTCACTTTGATCCATGTTCATATTCATAGCAACATATGCTGTTGAGGCCATTTTGTTAGGTCAATTCAACCCGGAGGTGTCACATTGATCAACTCTTGATCTGCTTTCCTAGTGAATTGACTGAAGGCAACTCAACAATTTGCTAACTCTTGGTGGTAAACCCTAAACCCTAACCAGAGAAAAGAAGAAATAAAGAAAAAAGGAGGTAAAATGCAGTTGCAGATTGTTTATACAACATGATGTTCTGAATTTTTCTGTTTGAAGAGTTGCAGGAACCTTGGATTTGGCATTTTGTGTATATGCTGCTTGTCTTTGTCAGCAATAGCAATGCACTACGGATGTGGTAACGAGTCCTGGTTGTTGAGGAACTTTACTTATTGCATTTGCAGTGAGAATTGTTCTTGGTGATGACTGTTTGTGAATAATTCTGTTTTCTTTACTTTGATTGTATGGACTTTACTGGCATTGTATTCATTATTTTATTAATGGATCCCTAGTTGTGCTGCTGTGTTATTTTTATCCAAGCAACAAGCCACTGACTGTACCTTCTTTCTCGCAGAAAAAAGGAAAGATTTATGAGATTGTTACTAGTGTCATTTTTTATTGTTAAAATAGAGATCAATATAGCAGAATCATTTGGTTGGTTGATGAGTCATGTCCTTTTGCTCTGTTTATTTATTTGTTTTTACAAAATACAATGCTTACAGCTCCTAATAGTTTTGACAATATGGGTCCTTAAGTAATATCTCATCAATTTCTGAACCCTGAATAAATCCCTCTCTCACCATTGTTTATTGCACATCTATTCACATTTATTTGTCATTTGCAGCTACCTACCAGAATTCATCTACCTATCAGAATTCTCAGGGAAGTCAGGGCGAGACTGATCCAAATAATACAACAGTGGGTAGTTTGTTTTGATGTTGGATTTTGTTTTGTTTGTTTGTTTTGGGGTTGTGTTAGTGACCCTTCGCAATATGGGTGCAGATATTTGTTGGCGGTTTGGATGAGAGTGTCTCAGATGACCTTCTGAGACAAGTGTTTGGCCAATTTGGTGAGTTGGTTCATGTGAAAATACCAGCAGGCAAGCGTTGTGGCTTTGTTCAATTCGCTGACAGGTAATGAAGAACAAGCTTTTCCTGATAAATTCCGGCAGTTATTTTTTCTGATGTAATTTTGGACTAATTACACTAATAGTCCTTAAAGTATGCACTCTGTGTTACTTTGGTCTCTATTTATCAATTGTGTCAATTTAGTATGAATTTTGTGTTTATGTGTGTAGAGTCCTTTATATAATATGTACACACATTTCATACTTTGGTTACTGAAGTGTGACAAGTGGATCATGTAGGACCATTAGTGTAGCTAATTTTGTTTATTCAACTTTCTAACCATTTCTATTGTTTGCATGTGGGTTGTAGAGCTTGTGCTGAGCAAGCGCTGTCAATGTTGAATGGTACTCCATTAGGTGGACAAAATATTCGACTTTCATGGGGTCGTAGTCCTTCAAACAAACAGGTGCATCAATTTATCATTGTATTGTGTGTAATTTTGGCTTAGTGCATGTTCCTATTTATCTGACGCTAGTATTGGCTCAGGCTCAACCCGATCAGGCTCAATGGAATGGTGCATATTATGGATACGCTGCTCAAGGATACGAGGCATATGGATATGCACCTCCTCCTCAAGATCCTAACATGTACTATGGAGCCTATCCTGGCTATGGGAATTACCAACAGCCACAGCAGGTAAGAGAATGTCATAAACTTTTTCTCATTTGTTATTCTTTGTTTGAGTTTAGATCATTTTAAGTTGCAAAGGGTGATCATTTGCCATCAAAACATTTACATTTTTGTTTGTGCTTAGTTAGTTAATTTGTGGAAGCCCGTGGTTACTTAAGAAATGTTTGTGTGTTTTATCTTATAAACCAACTGATGTCTTGTGCCTAGTCATAACTTGTGGGTAGCTATTGAGTGGAGATCACATTTTTCACCTCCTTGCCCATACCAGAAAGAAAATGTGTTGCGACTGCCATCTCTAAACTAGTTTTCTCATACTAGTGGTGGTTGGCAAACATGTAGTCTTCCTGATTAGGAAAAAATTGTTGTCATGTATCCAGCAATAATGATTTACATTTTGCTACTCCTTTTGGTTATGCCACCGTTGAAATACTTCAATCAACATTACTGGGTAAAATAAAAGGGTGTAAAATTAGAGAAAAAGTATGGTTTGCCTTGCCCAGAACCATCCACCACCTCCGAGTTACCTGCTTGTTGACAGCTGTGTGATTCCATTGACAATGACAAATATTAACAAGGGCTTGAGGTAGTTTATACAGTGATAAAGCATCATGCTATTAGCTGCTAGGCAGATGTTGGTCTTCCATTTTTGAAAACAATAATCATGTATCAGGCTTATTTATTGCTTCCTCATAACACTCCCTCTGAATTGATTGATTACGTTTCTTTCTTTGCAGTGATCCGATGAATTGATTACATTTCTTTATTTGCTGCGATCCGATGAATTGATTAATGTTTTCATGTATCGGGTTAAGATGAATTGATTGCATTTCTTTATTTGCAGTGATCCAATGCCATCCGCAGGGAAGCGTGAGGGGGCCATCGTGAGTGGGTTCACTCGGTTCCAGTTTCAGCTGGTTAGCTGCACAGTTGTCAAGTTCATTGAACTGGCTGTAATATGATGGTTGTTTTGGTTGTGGAGTTAGTATACTATTAAAGAGTATTTTCTTCTGCATTGTTATCTTCCTTTTTGTGCTTTCCCTTTTCTGTTTTTAGCCTTTCTTTGAGCAACTTGAGTGTTGGAAGTATATTATGACAGTATCGATGCACTTTCTCCTATGATAACTATGGTTGACATCGTATTTATGTCATGGATGTGGATTATTACTGTTTTTGGATATATATGTGTTTAGTTGTATGAGCCTTGTCTTGAATTTTGTTCCTGTGCAAATCCTACGCGTCGAACAGGGCTGTTCAAATTCTATTTCACTGAGGTAGTGATATACTTTGCTCTTCTTTGGTATTCCTTGGTTTGCAACTAAGTTACTGGATTGGCATGTGATGGATATAACTGGTAGATGGATGTTTTTTCTGAAAACAATTGGACGCTGTTAAATAAAAGAAAATTTTATTTTATCCCTTCAAACTATTACAATTGTATTATTTTAATAAAATTACTTATTAATTTTAACAATTATCAAACTATTTGATATTAGATCATTTTACTTCAAATCACTTGTAATGTTATTATTTTTCAGAATATCACACCCGTTAATTGAAGGTACTGATTCATTTTGTAACATGGTAACAAAACAAATGAAGACGCATTCAAAGATTACGTAATAAAATGTTGCTTGAAGAATATTCATCAAACCATACAATCAATTGTAGCAAATTATATGCATAAAATGTTTTTTTGTGTTGTAAAATTTCTTCACGGTTTGTGATCAAGTGAATTAATATTAATAATTTAAGTGATAATTGTTGAAATTGATGCTTATTTTGTGTAGGGGAGAAATTGATCCTCATTTTGTTTAGGGGAGTGATTTTATCAAAATATAATGGTTTAAATTTGTTTGGTGGCTGTTTTATCAAAATATAATGGTTATATTTGTTTGATTCTAAATAAATTAAAGATTAATATGATTAAAGATTGAATTACTAAGATTGTTTGATTATAAATAATTTTTCAGCTTAAACAATTGTTAACTTTTATTTTATAATCTTGCATCGGAAAAAGATGGAAAAAGTAAATTGTTTCACTTATATAAAGTTAATTTTATACTCACATTTAATGTTGTAGTGTTATGCATGTTTCAATGTAAGGCAATTTAAATTTTAAAATTAATATAACTTTTAAAAGTTTTAATTAATTAATTTTTGTATAAGTTGATTGGTATTTTGATCTAATCGATTAGATTAAACCGTTTTCGATTTGACTGATTTAACCACGATTTCTCATGCAGATTTTTTTAATTGTAAGCAATTAAATTTTTTTTCATTGACTAGTTTCTATTTAATCATATAAAAATAAAACTTTAATTAGTCTATAATTTATTTTACAATCCCATATTGGGAGAAGAAGGAAAAAGTAAATTATTTTACTTACATAAAGTAAATTTTATACTCATTTAATAATATAGTGTTATGCATAGTTTAGTTCAGGACAGTTTAAATTTTAAAATAAGAATTCTAATTAATTTATGATTTATTTTATAATCCCACATCGAAAAAAGAATAAAAAAATGAGTTGTTTCATGAAAATTATAAAATGTTTTGAAATTTATTAAAAGGGTATTGAATTTAATAATAAATGTCTTAGGTTTGATTTATATATATATATATATATATATATTTGTCTTTTTCTAATGCTCTATGGACACTTTGTTAGCAAGATTGTTTTAATATTATAAATAATTTTTTTATTTTATTTTACTTTTTAGATACAATTAAAAAGTAAAATATTTCTAAAAATTTTAAAAATAATTCAATAAACATAAAAAAATAAGAAAATATTTTGAGTTTTGTATTTTATTTTTGTTAAATTATATATATCTAAATTATAAAATATTTATTAAAATATTAAAAATGTTCATTAAAAATAAAAAAATACTGACTAAAAATTCAAAATTAAACAAGGGTGTAAAATTTTTTTTCCAAGAAAAAGAGGTGAGAGATTGCAGATTCACAAAAAGAAGTGATAGATTTGCAAAAAAGTCAAAGTGCAGGGGTACCTGAGCAAAAAAATGCATTTACAAATAAAGTTCAAAGAGCACATACTCATACATACATACAAGCGCACACAGTCGCATAGCATTTTCTTCATTTCTTCAATTCCCTCTCGTCTCGTTTCTTCTCGTCTCTTCACTTCAGGCCCACTTTAGTTCTCCTCTGCAACCTCCGATTTCAATCTCCAAATCTCCATAGACGCGACAAAGAGAAAGTGATAGAAAGTGACAGTCTCGTATAAACAACAAGAAAACAGATGGGTTACAGAAACAGAGAGCTTCATGGGCAAGAAATCGCTGTCCCAGCTTCATTCAGCGATGCCTTACTGTTCACTACCATGTGCATCATTGGCCTCCCAGTCGATGTTCATGTCAAGGATGGTTCAGTTTATTCTGGAATATTCCACACTGCCTGTGTAGAAAATGACTACGGTATGTAGGCTAGCTTTCATTGAATATGTTTGAATTTTTCTGAATCACTATTTGGGTTTTGTTTATTACATGAATTTGTATCTGGGTTTTGTTAATTACGTGAAATTGTATCTGGGTTTTGAGTCTTCATGAATTGGGTGGGGTGGGGTGGTCTTCTTTATACTGGATTGGATCCGTTTGTTCTCTGATCTGGATTTGTTCACTATGTTGTGCATTTTTCTCCATATTGTTCTGTTTGATAGAAATGGGAAAAGATAATCAATTGATGTTTTGAATCTTAAGTTTCTACATACTTTGGGACTTCATAAAGCATGAATCCATACACTCAGCTGAGCTTAATTAGTTCAGATTTTGATATTTTCAATAAAATTCCTTTGATATTCACCACCATGTGCATCATTGGACTCCCAGTCCATATTCATGTCAAGGATGGTTCAGTTTATTCTGGAATATTCTACACTGCCTGCATAGAGAACGACCTAGGAAGCACGGATACGGGTTACGTCGTTATGGGGATACTGATACGGTGATATGTCAAAATCTGAAAAGGTAGGATGCGGGTATGGCGGGGATACGTTCGTAAAAAAAAATTATTTTTTTAATTTTAATAATGTAATATGCATGAAAATAAAACCTAGGGTAAATTAATAAATAAAGAGAGGGATTGCTATTAAGCTAAGAGTCTTTAAGCATTCATAAAACATCCAAAACTAAAAGTAAAAGCAAATGCAAATGAAACATTATCCTTGCATGCCAACACCAAAAAAAGAACGAGAGTATAGAGAAGAAACGTGAGAGAGTCAGATAGAAGTGAGAGAGACAATATTTTCTGAATCACTAGTTGGGTTTTGCTAACTACATGAATTTGTATCTGGGTTTTGTTAATGACATGAAATTGTATCTGGGTTTTGAGTTTTTGTGAATTAGGTGGCGTGGTCTGCTTCATATTGGATTGGATCCGTCCACTTTCTGATCTGGATTTGTTCAAGTTATCTTTCATTCTCTCTCCTTGTTGCTATGCTTGGTTGCTTATAAAAATGGGAAAAGATAATCAATTGATGTTTTGAATCTTAATTTCTACATAGTGTAGGACTTCATAAAGGGTGAGTCTATACACTCAGCTGAGCTTAATTGGTTAAGATTGTGATATTTTCAATAACATTTCTTTACTTTCTAATCAACATAAAAGAAGATGGTGATCTGTTTTAATCTCTCTCTCTCTCTCTCTCTCTCTCGTCTCCTTTTAGCCTCTTATTCAAATTGAGGATGTTAGCTTCTATTTATGAGATTGATTGGTGCATGGTTTAGGTATTGTGTTGAAAAAGGCAAGGATGATTAAGAAGGGGAATTGTGATGCTAATGTAGTGAGTGGGGATCTGATAGAAACACTTGTGGTCATATCAGAAGATCTTGTTCAAGTGGTTGCTAAGGCATGTCATCATCTTTTTTCTTTTATGTATAATTGATCAGTTTGATGCTATGTTGAATGACCAATGTTTTGGGGGTCTTTAAATAGGGAATTTCGCTTCCAACAGATGGTGTTGCTTGCAATGTTGCTGGAGATGATGCAGGGGATGTTGTGGGCACTATTCCTACCCTTGAATGTGCAGACAGAGGGGTAAAAATGAAAAAGTCTAACAAGATCAACATGGAGAGAATTCAAACTAGTCGGACAAGGTATTGTAATGATAAAATATTTTACAATTTTATTTACTAGCTCTCGTATCTGATCTGAATTGGCATTAATTGTTAGGCAGTGCTATACAATAAATTACAATTAATAATTGGGACATGGAAAACAAATGTTCAAAAGTGAAACATGTTGATTTTACGACACAAAACTCATGAATGTTCTATGGCATTAGGCTATTAAGTTAGTGATTGGAATTCAGATGTCTATGATTAACATGCAAACGTTAAATTTTTATTTTTATTTTCCCCATTTGTCATGTAAGCTTTGCTTAACAAGATCAACGTGGAGAGAATTCAAACTAGTCGGACAAGGTATTGTAATGATAAAATATTTTACAATTTTATTTACTAGCTCTCGTATCTGATCTGGATTGGCATTAATTGTTAGGCAGTCCTATACAATAAATTACAATTAATAATTGGGACATGGAAAACAAATGTTCAAAAGTGAAACATGTTGATTTTACGACACAAAACTCATGAATGTTCTATGGCATTAGGCTATTAAGTTAGTAATTGGAATTCAGATGTCTATGATCAACATGCAAACGTTAAATTTTTATTTTTATTTTCCCTATTTGTCATGTAAGTTTTGCTTGCCAGGTGTGTTGAATGTTTTTCTATATTAAGACTCCACCTTCATCATGTTTAGTGACTTAAAGTCTTTTTATCTTTCACTCTGCTGATGCCAAGCCTAGTAGGCATGAACATTAGATAGTAAAATTGATATTTTATGAACTTCAACTCCAGAAGTGAAATAATGTATGTTTTCAATGTCCATGGCGAGGTGTAAATTTTTTCAGTAATATCAACGAAGTATAGTACTCCCTTTGTCCCAATATATTTGTCCCTTATAGAAAATCCAACTTTTTAAAGAGACATGCAATCATTACATTTTAATTCAAATTTTGAATCCCACCACTACCCTTATATTTCAATTTTAAAATGTTTTTATAATGATTTATAGGGGCAATTTTGGAAATCTAACCAAATTTAGCATTTAAAAATAGAAAGTGGACAAACATTTTGGGACAGACTAAAATGGAAAGGTGGACCAATAAAATGGGATGGAGGGAGTAGATTAGTAAGAGAACTTGTGGAAGGATAATTTTGAGTGAAGAAATGGTTGATCTGAAATTAGAAATGGAACATAGTTATTATCATTAAAGGCTCAAGGGACAATAAGGTGCCAAAGCTGTCTAATTGCATGAAGCAGCACAAGGCATTATTCTGAGCAGAGTATAGGTGCATGTATGATAGAAAAATCATTGTTTAGATATCCCGTTCAATTTGCATTACGTGCATTAGACTAATAGCAGTAGTCTACAATGGCAGTTAACTATAAAATATAGTACATTATGATAGATATTCAAAATTGAGTAGTAGACACATTGAATTCAGGCAATTGATAAAGATAATTAGTGTTTTATGGATTTTGGGAGAAATAAAAGAGTCCATGTAATACAGTTGGTCATCTTTCTTATATGGTGCCAATATAATGTCGTGTATATTCAGTTACTTTGGATAGAATAATGTTCTTATGTTCATTTGTAAATGCAGGAGACCACCTCAAGTTGAGAACAGGATTGCTTATGGATTTGCACCTACAGCAGTGTGCCATGTAGGCAATGCTCCAATAGTTGAAAATGGGAAATCAGATGGCATAGATTCTGTAAAGATAAATTTCTCTGAATTCATTAATAGATTATGTTTTTCTTTGAAGTGACTAACTTTGCAAACATTTAGGTAGGGGCTCCTTGATCTTAGGGAAATGTTGCCACTTAATTTTGGTATTGATCTACCAACAAGTGAGCCTATAGAGATCTCCTAGACAAAACATTTTTGGGCTTGATACTTGCACCGTAAGAAAGGACATGATTGCCTTAAACTTAACTGAGGGTATGACTTAAATACAATTAATTGGAGGAAATGGATTGGTAGGCCCGTCCTAGCTGCATGGGACAAAGGATTGTTGAATTGAGTACTATGTTCCTATATTTTATGGTTCTAGAAAGATCTTGTGTACCCAATGTAGATATTTTTTTTTTTGTCACAAGCTTCATATATTTTACAATTTAAATGATTCTAATTGGTGCGCACTTTAAAGTGGAGAGGGCACATTAAATGCATATGCTTGGATGCATACCCCATTTTGTTGCATTCATGAGTGGTGAGTGCTGAGCAGATGTTTAGTTGCCCATCGTCGTGTGCTCTATTCTGTGATATGATCCTGGATGTTCATGTGTGCTTGTGCGTGTGGCTTGCACTTGCATGTGTGCCAGCCATGTGTCTCATGTTGAATGAACATGTGCATGACATGTTGTAAGTTGTAAGTAGTGAATTTTCATTTTTTCCTTTTTTCCTCTTTTTCATTTTCTCCCAATGCAGAACAAAGAAGCTTCCAGTGCTCAAGTTAATGGGAGGTATGTATTTCCAACATTTTTTATTGGTTTTATTTTTAGTCCTTGTTTTGGACCGCTTGGTTTCCTACCACAACGATTTCCCCATTTTGTGTCGGACATTACATTTGTATTTCTATGAATTTATGTTTTGTGTTCTTACTTACTACTGTCATCAAATATATGATATATGTTGCACGTCTGATTTCTGGCAGCCCTCTTTTCAGATGTGTGCTATGTTTGGTGTTTTTCTCTGATTGAATTTTCCACAACCCAATAATTTGATTTCCATTTTTATTATGTTTTATTTGTTTGGTGACGAAGCCACTGTGTCATACTTGTATTCCTCCAATTGTTTCTGACAGACAGGTTGTAGATGGCAGATCACAAGGGAAACAGTTTGATTTCGAAGGGAAGTCCGACTTTCAAAAGGAAGAAACTGTATGTTGAGATAAACATGAGTAGACATATTTTTATAGGAATTGGAATTATCAATGTTAATGTTATTTCTGTTGCCATTTCTGCAGAAAAGTGAAGTTCAAGGTTCAGGTTCAAGCTGTGAGTTGAATATTCCTCTTTCTTGTTAATGGTTAAAAATGATTTGATCTTGCCTGTACATTAATTGGATGTTTTACGTTACATGGCATATACTGCCTTTGAATTCGATTTAGGATATTTTGCAGAAGAATTTATTCAACAGAGCCCTCATATGGCCTCTTTTTGTGACCAATGAGTACCCTTTTAGTATTATAATACTGGTTGAAATTTGGTGGATGCTTTTCTGTCATCTGATTCAGTTGACATTGTTGAACATTTTCCTAGATGGGATCATGGGATGCATCTGGGGATTGTTATTCGGTGTAAGTTGTGGATTTCTATCCATGTGCTATTAGGAGATTATTATTATGATTCGTATGGATGTAACCTTTACCCGACAAATTGCAGCTAGCACATCACAAAATTTTGAATCCCATCTATTCAGGATGCCTTTCATGCCCAACTAAATACAAACTGTTATTACATTTGAAGTTGTTTATTCCTTTATGTACAATTTAACCTGTTCAGCTCAGATTTTAACTTTATACACTTTGCATGCAGTGGATGCTTGCTTTTCCCAGTCAAAAGCTGTTGAGGAAGTGCATCAAGATATTGCATCCAAGCAGCTACCAAGTGGTGGACCTTCTGATCGTCCTGCTTCCTCCATTGTCAAACTGAAAGATCAAAATCAAGAAAGGCATACTTCTGAAGACAGTTCATATTCAACTGCTTCTAGTGTTTCAACTTCTGGCACTTTGTTTGTGGAGGCTATCACAGAATCATGCGTCAGTTCATCAACTCCAACTGAAATGGTCCTTCCAAAAAATTCAAGTTTGACTTCTAAGGTAAGTGGATGCTTGGAATATTATTTCATATAATGTAACTTAATTCATAGTTAAGTCAATGCTTGGAATAGGATTTCATGTTTGTAACTTTCTTTTGTCCATTCTATGATAGTTGAAAATAGTCCACACCATTCAATTTTTGGGCCCCTTGGATGTTAGATGACCTTGACCAAAAATATTGTAACAATAGGGGTATGAATAACTTCGGAGCTTATAGCTTCATTGCTAGTGTTGCCATTGGTACAGACAGGTGATTAGGCAAATTGATAGGAAGTTTCAATTATTACCTAATTTTTTTTGGAATGTGACAGTTGTCAACTCTATGAAATTTGAAGCAGACCGTATAATTCATTAATTTGATGAGAGTGAATGATAATGCCTCCTCAAAAACTCACCATTGCATTTAATTTTTGCTTTAGACCAAGTTGGTAATTCTTTTGAACTATTTTGGCTTTAGGAATTTAAGCTCAACCCTGGGGCAAAGGTATTCTGTCCGTCATTTGCAAATCATAAATCGGTGACTCCTCCAGCAATGCCGACAACAGTTGCAAATGTGTCATACATTCCAGACAACTTTCCTGTGGTACCCATTGCTAGTGCACTGCCCGAAGTTGACATGAGCTCTTTTGTTCCTCGCTCATCTCTGCCTGTCAAGTTTGTTCCACATGGTAACTTGATAGCTGGAAATGGCATCAACGATTCTCAATATTCTCAACCGGTATGTCCTATAAGCTTCTGTTGTTTTATTATTCCTTACATGTAGTCAGGCATTATTCTTAATAGTGATACAAGCTTTTTCGGAAGTGAGACAATGAATTATGTAAACAATATCTGTATGTGTTACTTTGACTTCACTTTGTTCATCTAGAGTATACGTATTTTTTTTGGGGCCTCCAACCAAATTTGGCCGCATGGAAATATTGATTTCTATGAAGCATTAATATGGATACGGGTAATGACAAGATACGAATACATTGGTACAGAGAATTCTAAAAAAGTTGGGTACAAGTACATTAGGAATACGAGGATATGTGTGTGTGTGTACATCCTATATGATGTATGTATGTATGCATATAAATAAAAAGGAAATTCTGTCATAACATATTTGTAATAAACTATTTGTCTTTAATACTATCCCATGCTTCGTAGATTGATTTTTATGTCTTTACAAATAAACAAAGAGATAATTATCATGCAGTCAGAGTCTTGTCGTGGCTCCTGTTTACCTACAACTATAAATAGGGATCATGTTCCATACAGATCTAAATACACAATTACATACATCATGTAAGAGAGAGTTCCCACTGCTAAACCCCCAAAGGACTTGTGAGAATATTAGGTTAGGTTTATATATATGGCAATGTATATTGTGTATATATTCTGAGAGATTGTGTATATATATATAGTAGTGTTTTCTTTTTCTTTTTAGTCTTAGGGTTAGGATTACTATATAATCAGATGTATTCTTTGTATTATGACAAAAAGTTGAATATACAGATCATTCAGAAAAACTTTCATGGTATTAGAGCCCTAGAAACCCTAGAAACTGTTCACCTCTCTGCATCGCGAGTCATGGTCGTATCCCTTGATCATGATTGACGGCTTGTCTGGTTTGAAGGCCTCTCTTGCTCTCGATCGACTAGTCTGTCTAGGTCCATTGATTGATCGATTGGTTTGTCCAGGTTGATCGACTGCTGGAATCACGTTCACCACTTCTTCTCTCTGCTCCTTGTCTTGCCATTGTGGTTTTCTGGTTCACTAGTTCATCCCCCCTGGTTTGCGATTCGCAATCTCTTGCGAAGAGTTTGCTCTTTCTCTCTTTGTCTCTCACTTGTCTGAGTCTGGTTCTATCTACTAAACACTGGGTTATTGATATATTGTCAATTAGCTCTCGAATTTTTATTTATTATACTTTGACCCCTTAGATTATTTATTTATTTTGGTTATTACACTTTGCCCTATTAGTTCCCTTTTCTTTTCCTTCTGGTTCATTACAATGTCAAAAGATAAAATTCAGGCTATTAAATGCAAACTTACTGGTGACAACTATGCTTATTTGTCTAGTGTTATAAAAATTTTTCTTCTCGGTCAAAAGAAATGGGGATATGTTTTTGGTTTTGTTCCTCGTCCATCAAATCCAAAACAAAAAGGATATCTGACTTCCTATGACACTTGGGATCGTGATAATTCCCAAGTTTTGACCTGGTTTCATAATTCTGTATCGGGATGATGTTTTCTAAATAAAACACTGTCATATATATATATATACACAATCTTTCAGAATATATACATAATATACACTGCCATATATATAAACCTAACCTAATATTCTCACAGGACTCTTGTCTAAGCCCTTGATCTTGAGGCAACTGTTCATAGTGAAACACCATCAATCTCTTTACTACACTCGTAAGTTTTGACCTTCAAGTCAGTGTTCTTTGTGAAGCCTTACTAATTTATTATTTTCTTCTGCCAAATAGAAGATTGTGGGGGCTGAGTTTGAGATGTTGTATACAAATAGGAGCTGCGTGTAAGTCGGCTCGTAATGACTTTACCCTCAGGATAAGTTTGCCGAGAAGACGAGTGAAGTGGGCCGGCCATGGCTGAATAGAACTAGATTGCGGGCCGAATAGGCCATAAATTTTACTGAACGACTGGAAGTCTAGCCGTCAGGGCGGGGTGTCCATAATAAGAAAGTGGGCCCTGGAAGCGTAATATAAAAAAGGAGTATCAGCCAGAAGGGAGGTGTGTGAGAAAAAGATAACTTGAGATATAAGAAAAACTTGAGTGAATACTAACTTGCCTGTCGGAGTGCTAATTCCGGCATTCCCGACCGGATTGTTCATTCCCATTTCAGGTACAAACTCGAGGATCAAGAGAGTCTGCTTGGGCCAAAAGGTATTTCCAAATCACATCTCCACAATTGGCGCCGTCTGTGGAAATACTCAAATGCGTTCATGGCAAACTTAACAGATGATCCTTCGCTCGTTGCTAAACATGTTACACCAAGAGATGATGTTACACCAAGAACCATGCTTGATCCGGAGAATATCCCCGCGCAAAGGGCCCTGAACTTTAACCCAGTAGCTCAAATTTCGCCCTCGACCTCGATGCAGGAAACCATGCAGGCGATCATGGATCAAGCAAAACAAACGAACGCCTGGAAGATATGGCGGCAGATAACGAACGTTTACGCAAGGAGTTGGTCCTTGAATTAGCCAAATCCCAACAAACCGCACCGCATCATGGCCGGGGTCGGTCGCCAAAAAAGAGTAAGGATGATCGACGACATTGGCACCGGAAACATGATAGTAGCAGTGCCTTTGATTCGTCATCTCAGGAACCCATGAAGAAGGGGTGAGTTGACGTATCCAGTTCATCCGAGGGAAGTCCGTATGTACGGCGTAGGCGAGGAAAATGAGATGGTTTGGATGCAGAAGATAAACACGATCCTTTTGTACGACCCATTGCAAGGGCTGCACTGCCAAAAAAGTTTAAAGCACCAACGTTTACTTTGTATGACGGTAAGTCAGACCCTACGGATCACATTCGTCATTACAAACAAGCAATGACATTGCATGCTGATGATGAAGCACTTATGTGCTGAATGTTTCCGAGTAGCCTGGGGCCATTGGCCGTCAGATAGTATTATAAATTGGAGCCGGCCTTAGTAAAAAGTTTTCATCAGCTCCAAAAGTTCTTTAGGGCAAGATTCATCACCAACGAGCTCCAGCCTAAGCAAGCCGACTCTTTCTAGGCAATGCAAATTAAACCAGAAGAAACACTCTGTGAATATTCGGCGTGCTACTGGGAATGTTTCAACTTGGTAGACGATGCCTGCAATGACTCCATGGTCATCACTGCCTTTAAAATGGGGTTACAACCTGACAGTCTTCTCAGAAGCTCGTTGACCAGACAGCCTCCTGAAACGGTCTAGGTGCTAATAAAGAAAGTTGAGGAGTATTGCAAGGTGAAAGACGATGCGCATCGCGTCAAAGCAGGACAAAAAGTTGTGAAGATGGCACTATCAGGTTTGGTTCAACCGATAAGCGCCGTATTACCAGGGAGCCTTGAATCGCGGTGCCGATCAAAGTGCGACAATCGGCGAGATTCGCGTCGGTCCAGCGAACAGTGTTCGCGCCGTTTGAACGAACAGTATCAACTGGATAGCAGGTGCCCCAGATGTTCGGACAAGAAGTACACGGAATTGGTAGAACCAATCAGCAAGATCTTACCTAAAGTCCAATATTTACCATCCTTTAAATGGCCGTCCAAGATGATTGGACCCCTGATACTAGACGAAGGGATAGACGGTGTAAATATCACAAGGATCATGGCCATGAGACTGATAGCTGTTATGCACTGAAGGACCATCTGGAGGAGTTGGTGTAAGATGGCCGACTGGCACAATATGTCTGAAAGGGCATCTACCAAGCACGGTGGCTCTACGCCCGGATTCCCTTCCACTTGGTGATTCACATAATATATAGTCTACCGCCGTCGACTAAGGTACATACGATCCAGCTATAACCCAGCTTGCCCAAGCCGTACACACCAGCCAAATGGCCTCATGAGACCGACAAAATCAGCTTTGACGACACTGATCTTGAAGGGGTAACGCTCCCCCACGAAGATGCCCTCATTATTGAGTTGCGCGTAAACAGATTTGTTGTGGAACGCATTCTAATCGATCAGGGGAGCACCTCGGAGATAATGTATCACAAGGCATTCATTAAACTCGGCTTCACCGATTCGGACTTGTTACCGGCCGAGTACCTCCTGTTCGGTTTCAACGCCAATCCCGAGTACCCTCTGGGCAAGATCGTATTGCCAATGCGTGCAGGTACCAAATCAGTGGACGTGGAGTTTCTAGTCGTCAAACTTCCATCACCATACAATCTCATCATGGGAAGGACCTGATTGCACGCAATGCAGGCGGTGCCGAGTGCCTACCATCAGTTACTTCGTTTTCCAGCACAACATGGCATTGAGCAAATTCACGACTCTCAAAAATCGACAAAGGCATGCTATCATATTGCTTCGGTGAGGAAGCCGAAGGAACTGGAAGTGAACTCAATTGAAGTTCCAGATCGCGAAAGCCTCGAGGATGTAGAAAAAACCCCCAACGATAAGGCAACCGAAGACCTCGATCGGATCGGCATTAAAGGGGAACCTGACAAATTCTTTATGATCAGCACCTCTCTGAACGCAGCTGAACGACAAGAGTTGGTTTCTTTCTTACTCGGCAACATCGACGTATTTGCCTGGACTCCGTATGAGATGCTGGGGGTGGATCCGAGCATAGCCCAATACCATTTAAACGTTGACCTAAAGGTTAAACCAGTTATTCAAAAAAGTCAACGGTTGGCTGCAGAGCATACTTCGGTCGTTGTCCACGAAGTCGACAGGCTGTTGGAAGCCGGGACAATTCGTGAAGTAACTTATCCCACCTGGTTGTCCAATATCGTGGTCGTTAAGAAGAAAAACGGATCTTGGCGTGTTTGTGTAGATTTCACGGACTTGAACAGGGCTTACCCCAAGAATTGCTTTCCATTTCCCCAAATTGACCAACTTATGAACGCAATTGCGCATCACCAACGCATGAGTTTCTTGGATGCTTACCGGGGTTACCACCAAATTGCTATGCAATCGGAGGACTAGGAAAAGACTGCATTCCTCACGCCACGGGGAACCTATTGCTACACGGTCATGCCGTTC